AGGGGGAAATGCGTGCTGAAAACAAACAAATAAACAAAAAAAGACAACCCCCCCCCCCCAAAAAAAAACACACACACAAAAAAATAAAAAATAAGAAATAGGAAAAAAAAAAACCCCAAACCCCAAAACCAAAACAAACAAAAACCACCAAAAAATAGAAAAAAAAACCCAAAACAAAAAAGACCCAAAAAACAAAAAAGACCCAAAAAACAAAAAAGACCCAAAAAACCTGAAAAAAACCCCAAAACTCCCCCAAAAAACAAAAACCACCAAAAAAACCCAAAAAAGCCAAAAAAATACCCCAAAAAAGAAAACAAATCAAACAAACAAAAAAACCCAAAAAATCCCAAAACCCCCCAAAAAAACACCAAAATCCAAACCAAACCAAAAACCCCCAAAAGCAAAAAAAAAAAACCCCAAAATTGAAACAAACAAAAAAAGCAACAACCAACCAACAACAACAACAACAAAAAAAACCAACAAAAAAAATTTTGATTAATGCTATTCTTTAATAAACAACTTATGGCAGGTGCCTGGCAGCTTATGACAATTCACGGGGTATTTATTGGGATCAGAAAATACTCTGAGCTTGAACGAGTCTGTGCCCTGGCCTTGGCTGGCTGCAGTGGGCTGGGCTCAGTGGCTGCCTGGCTGCAGATAATAAATCCAAGGGCTGGAGAAGCCGTGAAGTGCCCGAACGTTCAGCTCATTGTGGCACCAGCGCCGAGCTTTCCCAGCCCCGTTTTTCCCTTCTCTGCAGCCCCGTTATTCCCTGCAGGCCGGCTCAGTAAACACAGCTCACTTCACCTTGCCTGAATAATGATTTTTGTTGTAGTTGGTGCCAGCTCTGGGGCAGGCAGAGCGAGCTTTAGAGGCTGCCAGGAAGGAGAGGGCATCGGTTTTGTGTTGGATTTAGGGTTTAGGATGCTCAGGAGATGCTGCCGTGGTGGGATGGGCTGGTCCCGGGCTCTCGGTGGGGATGGTAAATTCATTTTTTTCTGCAAAGCAGCAGCGCTGAGGAGGAAATGCAGGAGCTGGGGGAGTGGAGAAGGGATGACTTTCCTCTGATGTCAAAAATCCCAGCATCCAGTGCTCGCCGTGGAAAAGGCGAGAGGAGAAGAATGTGGAGACAGGGAGAGGGGCAGGGAGCAGAGATGATGATGATGATGATGATGAAGGGGAAGGACACGCTCCTTTTGCTCCTCAATCTTGTAGGCTGAGCTTGTCCACCCTGGCAGGATGGAGAAGCAAGGCTAAGCCCCAGTGCCAAGCCCCAGGGATTGCTCCCAACCCCATCCCGATCTGGACTTGGTTAGTACTGCCTTGGTGTGAATTATCAGGGAGATAAAAATTGTCAAGAAACTTACAGCTGTTCCCACAGGACTCTCTCTCTTTGCCTTAGCTTTTATTTCTGAGGGTTTGAATTTCCTGCTCACTGTGCTCGTGCCTGATCCTCACAGGATTTCTGCAAGGATCAGGGCTGGATGGAAGTGAAGAAGCAGCAGAGCTGGAGCTGCCCTGGAGCTCTGTCCAGGTTCTTATTTCTTCCTTCCGAGGGGCTGAATATCAAAAAGGTGCCAGGTTTTGTCCTTCATGCATTTTGCTGTGTGCCGTTGCCTGTAATTAGTTTCTCAACTGAAAAAGCTTTCTCAACCGGAAAAAAAAAAAAAAAAAAAAAAAAAAAAAAGGAAAACCAACCCCCCACATTTTTGGCAATGGGTTGTTTTTCTAAGCAATTAATTAAGAGCTGATTTTAAAAGAATTTGAATGAATCCTTCCACTCTGTGTCAAGCATGGATTTTGTATTAATCACTTCACTACTCGCTGGCTGAATAAGGACTGAAAAAAGATGCAGGGAGTAAAAATTTCCCCAGGAAATGAATCAGACGAGGAACCTATGCCTCATCTGGCCTCGTCCAAGTGAAGAACGCGAGGATTTTGTCAATGGTGGGTCAGTTTACAAACGTGTCCTCTGCGGGGTGAGTCAGAGCAGTGATGCATTTCACAGCAATGCAGCCAGAGTTGCAGCTGAAAGCAGCAGTGAACGCCAGCTCAAGATAAACACGAGTGGATCCTCAGTGGATCCATTATTTTTATATGTGTATATATAATTATATATAAAATGGTGCCCATTATAGTCAGGAGAATGAAAGTGCAGCCTGTCAGATTTGCTGCTGTGTTATCCAGCTCTCCCTGTTTGAAACCAATGTCCAAATTCCCTCTGGCTTCCACGGGAGCAGGGAAATCCCTTGGGACTTGTGATTTCCATTTTTTGATAAGGGAGAGCTGTGGGGTTTTGTAAGATGGAGTTGGTGGAGGATCCAGCGTTTTTTTCAGTGTCCAGTCAAATGTGGATGCTCCCAGGTGGGCAGCACTGCTTTGTGGTAAAATTCAGAATGTGGAATCGCTCTGGAATCGCTGCTGTCTCCAGAGTTGGCTGCAATGCATCACAAGTTTGGAGTTTTCCAAAATGCTGGACAAATATTTATGTTTTTTCCCCCTCAAGCACCAGCCTTTGTTAGTGTTAGAGCTGTTAAGGGATGTACAAAAGCTGTTGTCGTGAAAGCACCATCAAGATTTGTTGTTGATGTTTTGGTTGTGGGCGAGGTAATGAGATCTAGCTGAGAATCTGAGCTGAAATATGAAAATTTCAATCGTTTTCCCTGGTGTCACTTTCCCCAGTGTTTCCCAACACTAAACCTTGTTAAGTGTGTTAGTCCTTGTGGGTTTGGGTTTTTTTTTTTAGTGGGTTTTCTGTAGCTTTCCAGGCTGTAAAAGTGTTTAGGCAAGAGGGTGAAATACTTGGTGGGTCAGTGGTGAGATCACGATTTATTGCTGGCCAAGATTGCTGCCCTGAAATGGGATGAGAGCAATGGCTGAGATGCTGCAGGCCTTTCTTTGGGATAATGGTCATCCTTGGAAAGATCTATAATTAAACCAGTTCCTTGATTGAATGTGGGTTTATCAGTGCACTTTTTCAGCCTCTTGGCTCAAAGACCATCCCAGTTTGCAAATATCAGCGACACTGGGGCGAAAAAAAGCTTGGGAAGGGGGTGGAGAATGGCAGACTCGGAGTCAAATTTAAATTTTGGAAGTCCTTGGCCAGCACTTTAACCATGAGTCCTCTTCTCTTTAGGGTTAAACGTTTCCTCTTAGAAGAAGAGCCAGAGGCTCTCGATTATCCATGCAAAACAGGCCAGGGCTTTGATTTGTAAGGTTTTGTCTGCCACACTTTGAAACGGATGAAGCTTAATTTAGATCCCCACAAGAAAATCAAAATTCGACGGTGGAGACACAGCCCCACTTTCCCTCTCTTATCCCGAGGCATCATTCCCCACCCTTCCCATTTTTCTCTTCACCCCCCCACCAAAAAAAAAAAAA